TCAGAGGGAGAAGCAGACTCCCCGCTGAGCAGGGAGCCCGATGCGGGACTCGATCCCGGGACTCCAGGATCACGACCTGAGCCAAAGGCAGTCGCCCAACCGACTGAGCCACCCAGGCGCCCCTGCTTTAAGGAAGTTCTAACCTTGTTCTCACGAAGGGCTAAAGTAAGAATTGCAAAGATGGCTTTGAATATTAAAAAAAAAAAAAGATGGTGAGAGCTTGACGTGCTCAATGTGTTCCTGCAACTCAGCCTACTAAGTGCAAACGCTGAGATCATTGGTTTATAGTTACAAGAAGGGAGTAGTGGTGGTATTTCCCAATGGTGGATGATTCAGTAGTTGGCCATTCCTGACTTGTGAATGCATTCTGTGATGGGGGTCAGTACCTCGCCACTGCCTATTATATTTGCAAGGGCAGACCGTTTCCTTCACCAGACACACATAGAAAGCAGTTTAGTGGCTCAGGCCAGAAAAGGGAAGTCAAGCTGGGTTTAAAACTGGGTTGCTGGGGAGATGACTAAGGGATGATTGACAGATACACAGTTTGAGGTAGTTAGGAAAAGCATTATTTGAAGTGTGCCCTGGGGGTTCAGAAGGGTGGTGAGAGGGGCCCTGCCAGTACAGACAAGGATTTCTCCCAGTCGGAGATGTGAAACCTCTGAGAAATAAGGCAAATAAGCAGGAAGCAGATACAGTATAGCTTGATGACAGGCACCCTACACACGATGCAAACTACTAAGAGGAGTGGGCGCAAGGAAGCCTTCCTTAAACCTGCATCAGAATCACGTGGCGTGTTGGTTAAACATACACATCTCCAGGTCCACTGAACTGGGCTCTGGGGTCCACACATGCGACAGGGGTTTCTGCAGCTGGTAGATCTAAAACCCACCCTGCGACACCGGGTCCGAGAAAGTGGAGGAAAGGACTCCTGGCGGGCAGAGCGGGGAGGAAAGGAGCACTCGTAGAGGGTGCACAAAACGAAGGGGTGGCGGCGTAGCCTGTCCTTCCCATTTCCTCGTCTGGAGATGGGGGTAATAACAGAGCCTTCCTCCTAGGATCGGCGAGAGAACTGAAAACTAGCTAATGCCTGTCGAGAGTTCAAGGGTGCGCGGGGTTCAGGGTTGCGC